CCCCATGCGGTGCCTTTCAACTTAAAACTACTTAGCCGCTAAAATATCCAGATACTATAATACATATGTGGGAGTGATAGGATATGTTTACAACGAATGAATAGGATAGAATGTTTATAACGAAGCGGTAGTTGCGTGAACGAAGAGCGCTTTAGCTAGAGAGTGTCGTCGAGGTAACTCCGGAGATTGTTTTAACGTACTTAATCTGCAGTAATGTTGGTACAGAGTGACTTGGTGGATTTCTTAGATTCTAAAACTTGAACTAATCCTCTCTTGTTTGGGCCCAGTATTTATATAGGTCCCTACTAGAGGGGGTGGATGCTGTGAAATGCGCGTGTGGTAGGGAAATTTAGGAAGAGGACCCGGAAAATCGCGGAAAAGCCATCTTGGCGTCGGTCTGGAATGCAGGGCGAATTTTGAAATAGATGTGTGTAAGGCGCTGTGCGACGCGCCTAGACAAGGACCGCGGGACCCAAGCCTTAGACAAGGATGCACCCTCACCCCAAGGCTTGCACGGTCCTAACGTCCGAAGGACGATATAAAAAAGGGCAGCGACCCACACAATATCGCACATAGTCGTCGACGAGCGAACCGACGTTATTCTAACATCAGTTATTTTAAGGCCAGTCTTACATATTTATCATTGGTCAGAACAAGGAAAACCCATTCGCATACCACAGGTCTGACAGTGTGAAAGAAGAGTGCTTGAGCTATCGAGATAGAGGTGCGAAAGAGCAGTGTTTGGAACGAGTGTATACAGTGAACCCTCCTACAACGCGGTACTCTTATAACACGGTTTCCATATAACGCGGTGCCAAAATTGCGACGGTCCTCCTATAACACGGTACTCTTATAACGCGGTTTCCGTTCAACAACATTCCATCAACTTAATTGGTTTAAGAAGATTCTCTATAGCATGAATTTATCTATGTGTTAAATTTTTACAGTTGAAATTAGCGGGGAATTCCCTTCTTTTTGGTGAAGGTACATCACCATTTTCCAATTTCAGTTATCAGGGAATTCCCCTATAAGCGAAGAAACGATGCGAGATTGTTCAGTGTTCTGTTTTAATGCTTAAAATAGATCGTATGATTGACTGTTGCGTATTTGCGTGAATTTTTTTATTCAATAGCACTGCCGAACTTTCGCTGTTGCAACCACTTACTTTGTCATCAATTTTAAGTGCAACTTACAACTTGTTAGTAGGAAACTGTCTGTAAAACCGTGCAGACGTACATATCACGATTAGTGTTCAATAAAACGCCTTTTGCTCGCTTAATTTGTGTTATCGTAATTGGACAACATTACACAATACTGTAAAAATAATAAAAATAAAAATAATGAATAAAAAAAAATAAAAATAAAAATAATTTTATTGTACTTAACATATTATCTTGCCTTTTGTGTTTGTAAAATTTTTTCCACAACCGTATGCACCGTAACTTGACGCTCTGAGAATGCAATTTTCATTCAACGCAGAACGAATCAAACTGATTAACAAGTGATTTTACTTACTTCCGAGTTTCACTCAACGCGGTACGAATCAATCTGATTCGTACTAATTCTGAGTCTCTTATAGCGCGGTTTCCATATAACGCGGTATACGGTTTCCATATAACGCGGCACGAATTAATCTAGTTTGCACGTTAAATCTGAGTTTCTTATAGCGCGGTACCCATATAACGCGGTACGAATTAATCGCGTTATAGGAGGGTTGACTGTACTTGAGAATATCGTGTGAACGGTGGATGCGTGGCCACCCAAAATGTTTGGTGGACATGACTGAATGTTTTCGAAGAACGTCTGCCTAGAGTGAAAGAAACAGAGAGGAAGGAGGTGTAAGGATAAAGGAGGGTGAAACGTTGCAGTGAGTGAACGTAGCGTGAGTTGTGAGACTGTGACACTGTTGCGAGCTTAGAAAATTACATTAGTTTCGCATTAAGACACTTAGAATATACAGATTTCGTTAATTAACCTTCGAGTTCCAAAACTCATTGCCTCAAGCAAAGAGAATTGATTCGTATTGGTGGAATTTAGCTGGAAAAATTTCATCAACGTGGCGCCACGAAAAACGGACGGAAAATTCACCGGTGGAAGTTCGAATTGGTCAGGCAGGAAGAGTAGTATCGAGATTTCAGTACGAAGGTTGCCACGCGACGGCAGAAAGAACAACGTGAATATCAGGGGGGAAAAATAATCTGCGCGCCGAAATTAGTTGGAGTCCTGGGCCATTTCGATTCCATTCGCGAAACTTTCCTCTTTGTCTCGATGCAGGTCGCTAGAACAAGATCAAACTCCGCCTGGAAATATTAACGTTTTGCACAGTGGTGGCCCTCTGTTCCCGATACGGTCCCGCGCCAAACTTTCACCGCGTTTTCCCCGGTGTGTTTGCGTTTATCGTACCCTTTGCCTCCATCAACCGTTTAGTTGAAACAATAATACGGTCCGCGGAGTTATGGGATCATTTAGCGGGCAAGATAAAACAAGAACACACAGAGAGAGAGAGATGAACGTGTAACTGAACTTCGGGTTTTGTTACGGAACATTCGAGTTTAATTTCAGAGTGGTTAACAGAGATGGAGAATTTATTGGAGAAAAATGAAACGATAGACAACGAAGCATAAATATTTCATCGGAAAAATTAAGAAAATATTGTAATTCTTAAGATATTATTTAAACAAACGATCTTTTTTCGAATCTGTTTAGGCAGAAGCATTGGACGTTCAGAAATACAAATTTTGTCAATTTGGACCATCCCTCTATTTTTAATAGTTTTCGAGATATTCGACTAAATATGTTTACTACCCTTAACTTTCAGGGCTATTTGCACCCTTTCAATGTGGAAGATTTCTGATAAAAAAAAATACGCGTCGAATATTTTTTCGAGGACTATCGTATACCAAAGTTTCGTCAAAATCGGTGATTTGTTAGTAATGTAGTGGGGCCTCCGTATCCAAAAAATAGGAAACCGATACGGGAGAATACAGAGGGAGTGATTGGCGTAGCGCGCAAAGCCGAAGGTCCCGGGTTCGATTCCCGTTGGGTCCCTCAATATTTTTCCGTCGTTGGTTCCTACAAATGGTTGGGGGCTCGTCCGGGATGGAGGCATCTACGGCTGCACGAAGCCCCAGGCGCTGTGAGATGAAAACATCTCGAGGGTTGCACGTCTCCCAAAAATGCGTTGTTTCGGCTGTGTGCCACTGTGTGGGGGAGTGTACCCGAAAGTTGTTGAGTTGTGTTGCACTGCGGACATTCGAGGGCGAATTGTCAGTTGAGGATGGCCGAGTGTAGTATCGGGGCCTCCATACCCAAATAGGAAACCTCGAAGGGAGAATAGAGAGGGAGTGGTTGGCGTAGCGCGCAAAGCCTCGGCTTGCTAAGCCCCGGGTTCGATTTCCGTTGGGGTCCCTCGATATTTTTCCGTCGTCAGTTCCTGCAGTAATTAATTTCACTGTCCCTTACATTGTCGCGAACAGACGTAAGCGAAATTTACAATTCCGTGATATTCTTAAACCCCTTCGTTACTCGGTTCGTTACTTTCATTGGCGCCTATTAGGCGTTTTGAAAATTTTCTCGCTCTCTATTACTGAAGCCTTTTAAGTTTTAGAATTTTAAAACGATAGGGCTAAAATACGAAATTTTAGAGCCATTCTTAGTCGGTCAACCATGTCATGCATTTTTAATATTTACAACATATCCATCATCAAAATCGGTGATTTTCACTTCGACATGTTCTCTCATCGGTATTTTATCTTACAAATAAAATCGTCTTTCAGTTTAAGCATCCTCGTACCCCATCATAGATCCTTGAAAAAATTTTTCACAAGTGTCCAATCTTCTACGAGCCAGATAATCACCGTCCGTCTGATCAAACGATTCCCTACAATTTTTAACATCAAGTCGACCTCCGCGGAGCTCATCGACCCGTGCTATTTTCGTTTAATTACCAGGAGTTAATTAGCAATATTCTGCTCGAAAGGACAGCAAAGGCGATCGACTTTCCGCGCCGTCTACGCACGATCCTCGCCGGATCTAAAAGTTTAACGGAGCATAATATTACTTGTTATCCTCCGCATATTATCGTGTCGTCACTGAGCCGAGATTTTCTCGAGGAAACCAGCTAACTCGATGCCTCCTCTTCACTTCCTCGCGTCTCGTTAACGGATCTCCTTCCGTATAATTCCTCCTCTGCTCTCTCCATTCTGTTACCTAGTCGGGATAATTCGTCTGCGATTGCTCCGCAACGACCTCCTCGTCTTCAGATTTTTCCCCAAACCAGATCCCTCCCCCGTGTTTCGAAGCTTCGTTAATCCTATTCTCCTTTCCTCGACAAAGCTTCCGCCGTCTTTGCCAACAGCAATTTCGATCGATATTGCCAACTTCATAACCAGCCGGGATTATAACTCCTCGCGCGAGTTTCTCGAACCATTTGAATCGTCGAACAACCCAGTTCACAGATTGTTTCGCATTACACAGGATTTTCGTGGCTCTTCCTTCGAGGTAAAACGTCTTCTCCAACGTCTACGGAATCATATCTCGTTTCAGCAATTACCAAGCGGGAAATTGTCCCCGATTTTCGGACGTTTCATTAAGAAAAGAGCTTTCGATCTCGCGCTTTATTTCCACCGTGATTTCTCCACGCTCCGAAGATACATCCCCCTCTGCCGTCGGGATCCGAGCATCTTGAGACCGAAGTTTACAAACGCTATTGCAGTCGGAGAAACGAGAGAAAAGGGGTCTCCTATCGGACGCTGTGCTCGGCTAGGGCTTAATAGGAGGGACAAGGCAATCGTAAACTCGTGGAAACTTTATATTTCAAAGGTGTCAACAAAGATACAACTGACTAACAAGAAACAATTTCGAGCGATGTCGATGTCGTTGCACGGCGGACTGGCTGAGCTACGAGGATAAGAAACATTGTTATCGGGACAACTTCCGGAACGAGTTCCCTGGATTTTTTCGGGTAACACGATTCCAGGAGGGTTGGAACTGTTATTAGCTTAGGTCTGATCCTCCGTTGTTACTTGCTCAACGGGTTTCTCCGATTCCGGTTCCTTCTTGATCTTCAGAATGTCATCTACTTCCGGTGGCACCACAACCGTCTCGCTTTCCGCCGGAAGCGCGTACTCCTCGTGAGTCTGCGAAGCGTCGAAGTAGTGTCCCAGGTCTTTGTAGTGGCCGTGTTGCTCGTACGCAGAGTGAAGGTGAGCCTCGTGGTGTTTGTGGTGACTGTCGTGATGATGTTTGTGTTCATGATCGTCGAAGTGTTTGTGTTGTTCCTCGTGGGAGTGTCCGTGTTTGTGTTCGTGGGACTCGTGGTGTTTGTGGTGTTCCTGATGATGGTGTGCTTCGTGGTGATCGTGATGGTGTTTGTGATCGTGACCGTGCTTGTGTTCCTCCTTGTGCTCGTGGCCGTGTTTGTGTTCCTCGTGATGGTGATGCTTGTGGTCCTGGTGATGAGCGTGGTGATGGTCCTCGTGGTGTCCGTGGTGATGCTCCTCCTTGTGACCGTGCTTGTGTTCGTGTCCATGTTTGTGGTGATGATCCTCGTGGTGATCGTGTTTGTGGTCCTCGTGATGTCCGTGGTGATGCTCCTCTTTGTGAGTTTGCTTGTGCTCGTGGCCGTGTTTGTGGTGATGATCCGCGTGGTGTCCGTGTTTGTGATCGTGGCCGTGTTTGTGGTGATGATCTTCGTGGTGTCCGTGATGGTGATCCTCGTGGTGTCCGTGTTTGTGCTCGTGTCCGTGGTGATGCTTGTGGTCCTGCTTGTGACCATGCTTGTGGTGTTCCTGATGCTCGTGACCGTGATGATGATGGTGATTCTCGGTCTCCTTGTGGGTGTGGTGATGATGATGCTCGTTGACGTGGTGATGATCGTGATGATGATGGTGTTCGTTGTGGTGATTGTGCTTGTGGTGGTGATGATGTTCCGCGTGATGTTTGTGCTCCTCGTGATGCTCGTGTTTCGAGTGATGCTGATGACCGTGATGATGATGATGGTCTCCGTGGTGTTTGTGGTCGTGATCATGCTTGTGGTCGTGCTTGTGACCGTGTTCGTGTTTGTGTTCGTGACCGTGATGATGCTTGTGATCGGAGTGATGCTTGTGTCCGTGATGATGATCGTGTCCGTGGTGCTGTTTATGCTCCTCGTGATGCTTGTGTTCCTCGTGATGCTCGTGTCCATGCTTGTGTTCGTGCTCACTGTGGTGCTTGTGATCGTGTTCGTGCTTGTGTTTAGCGTGATGATCGTGATGAGAGTGGTGTCCGTGGTGATGCGAGTGATGATGTTTAGCATGATGATCGTGAGCGTGGTGGAAGGAATGAGGAGCTTTGAAACCGTGGCTATTTCGATGATCATAATGTGGCGTCACGAACGTAATGTGACTCGGGTGAGATGAGATTCTCGGTTCGATGCCATTCTTGGGGGGTTCAACGATGCGAGAAACGATGCTGGTCTTGGTGTTAGGGTCGTAAGTGGCTCGGTGGAGCAGCGAGTGGGCCTGGCCGCTTAGGGAGAGACCTAGCGGTTGGAAATTGGCTCCAAGGTCAGCTAATTGCCGTTTTCGTGGATGTTTCTGCGCGGTGACCGAGTTGCGGAGAGGTAACAGGGGTGATGGTTGGAATTGTCGCGGGAGCCTGATGGAATTGGGCAATTCTGGGTTGGCCGCCGCTAGCACTGGTCGATTCCCTTCCGATGCTCTCAAATCTTGGCCTGCCGCCGCTGTCAGTAACAGGACGACGACTGAAAGCCACGCCTGAAGGCCGAGAAAAAATATGGAAGAAAGGGACGTTGTAATGGTAGCGAAGGAATTCTTCTTTGCAGGTTACAGAAATTATGGTGAAAGATTCTAAGCTTACGCAGTGGTGAAAAATTAGAGATCATCGTGCACTGTAAACTATGCAAGAATTTTTAGAAAAAATTACTGAAATGATGGTGGAGATCATTAGTAGTCGTTATACATGTTTGTTTCATATACACTGTAGACCAAAAATTTGAGAACACTATGCATTGCAAACTACGCAATAATTTTCAAAAAATGACTTTCCTATTACCCTAATCTCCCAGATTGAAATAAATCCCTACTGATTTCTGCAACCCCAATTTCAAATCCACAAAAAATTAGTGCAAATTGCTAAACAGCATCGAACTTTGAATTGACCAAAATTTGTCTTTCAAAAAATACCTTTTCTATTACCCTAATCCCCCAGAGTGAAATAAACCGCCATTGATCCCTGCAGCCCCAATTTCAGATCCACAAAAAATTAGTGCAAATTGATAAACAGTATCAAACTTTGAATGGACCAAAACTTGTCTTTCAGAAAATGCCTTTTCTATAATATTATTCTAATCCACCAGATTAAAATAAATCGGTATTGATTCCTGCAACCCTAATTTCAAATCCACAAAAAATTAGTGCAAATTGAGAAACAGTGTCAAACTCTGAACTGACCAAAATTTGTCTTTCACAAAATACCTTTTCAATTACCCTAATCCACCAGAGCAGAAAGAATCGCCATTGATCCCTACACCCCCAATTTCAAATCCACAAAAAATCGATATAAATTGACAAGCACTTCCAAACTTTCATCTCCCAGCAGCGATCAAAACATTCCTGCAAATCGATAAATAATAGCAAACTTTCAACTCCTAGAATTTAACCAAAATCTATCACGACCGAAAACAGGATCAAATCCAAACATTCACTAGTAACGTCATTTAACTCACGCTCATCGACAGTCGGAGTCTCACCGGGCAATTCAAAAGCGCCGGCTAATTTTCGAAAACGGTCTGGCCGCAAGCGAATTCATTATAACGTCGGAGGATACGCGGTGCTCGCTTTTGCGCCGGACATTAGCTCGGCTAACCGAAACAATAAAACAACGTCCAGGCTGGCGCGGGCCATTTTGGTCGCGCACGTGCGGAACGAGCATGTCCGAGCGGAAGAACCGGAGATAATATCCAGTAAATCGTTCGTCGCCTCGTTTTATCGCGTTCCCACCCTTTCCTCTCGTTAAACCGTCTCTCCGATCAAAAACCAGGCGAAAGTAGTGAAACGAAGGCGGATAAGAAACGAGACATCTCGATGATTCGGTGTAAAGAGAGTACAAGAAGAGGATCCGGAGACGATCGAACGGAGGATTTTTGCAATGGAGAAACAGTCGAGGTCAGCTGTCCCAGAGCGATCAGGACACGGTTGAGCTTTTTTTTCACTTGAAAACGAATGGGATCCCTATGGAGGCGGTTTTCCTCTCTCTCTCTCTCTCTGCGGCGATGATTTATGCGATCCGTGGCGTGTTCGTGACAAAACGAGCAAAAAAGGACTGTTCAAGCTAGCTAGTTACGCGGCAGGGAATTTTAAATTAGCGTTCCGTTTTAGGTTTAGCTTTATTCCGCGACGCGTAGCGATTGGCCGACGCGATGGGAATGAATACGGCCGGACAGAATGGGCGGTTGACGTGAAATGCAATCAGGAATTTTATTTCCGGGCCTGGACCGAACGAATTCCAAACACGAACGATACATTCGTTAAAAGATTCATCCACATTTCGACCGCGTTTCGAGAATTACTCGCTGTGGTAGAGAGCGTCGACTTAAAATTCCCTTTTTTCCTTCTTCTGCCTTTGGTAAAGATACGCGTTTTATTCTTTTCAGAGGTGTCTCTTATTTAAGTCAGTTCGGGTTTTGATCCTCGTTTACCGTCAGCTTATCGTCGCGGCAATAAGGTTCGTTTAGAGGTGGTGTTGCTGCAGCGACGCGGTCCTCCTACCATCGGCAACCGTGTTCCGGCTGTTTTAATCTCTCGTCGTGCAGCTCGGTGTATTCTTCTTGAAATGCAAATGCCCCGGCGCTGATTAACTTGGAATTTAATCAGCGACGATGGAATTTATACGAAAAGATTAGCATGTTGCCGCCCGTGCCGGAGAGGATGAACTACCCGTGTATCCTACTTGGCTATTTTTACGCTGAATTGTGCAATATGGAATTAACGGGAGATAGAATTTTTTTTCTCTTTTTACCAGAGCTCCTGCTTTCTGACGAGGAAATACGAGTTTAATTATAGAAGGTTGATGCAGCCACGAGAAATTAATCGAAGATCTAACGAATTCTGCTGTATTTTTCTTTCTTTTTAGCAGAGATTCTATTTTCTGACGGGTAAAGATAAGTATAATTATAGAAGGTTAATACAATCGTAAGAAATTCATCTCATATTTTCTTTTTTCAACCAGAGAGCCCATCTTCTGGTAAGCAAATAAAAGTCTAATTACGGAATGTTAATACAGGTAAAAAATTAATCGAAGATCGAGTGAATTCTCCTATTCTCTTTTAACCAGAGAGCTCATTTTCTGATAAGCAAATAAAAGTATAATTATGGAAGGTTAATGTACAGAAAAGTGAATTTTCCTATGTTTTTCCCCCTTTTATCAGTGACCCTATTTTCTGATAAGTACAAAAGTAGCGAAAAGATGAAATGTAGAAAATTAGCAAATTGCCGCGTGAGAGGATCAACGAGGACTGGTGTGCACCATACTTCGCTATTTTCGTTGAATTGTGAAATATTCAATCAATCGAAAATCGAATCAATTCTCTTATTTTATTTTTTTTACCGGATGTCCCATTTTCTGGTAAGCAAATAAAAGTCTAATTATAGAAGGTTGACACAGCAATAAAGGATTAATCGATGACCGAATGAACTCTCCTATATGTTTATTCTTTTTTTTTACCAGAGGCCCCGTTTTCTGATAAGCAAACAAAAGTCTAAATATTTATAGAAGATTGACACAGCAATAAAAAATCAATGGAAGACCAAATGAACTCTCCTATTTCTATTCTTTTATTTTACCAGATGTCCCATTTTCTGGCAAGCAAATAAAAGCCTAATTATAGAAGCTTGACATAGCAATAAAAAATTAATCCAAGATCGAGTGAATTTTTCTACTTTTGTTTTTCCATTTTCTGATAAGCATATAAAAGCCTAATTATGGAAGGTTAACACAGTCATAAAAAATGAATCCAAGACCGAACGAACTCTCCTATTTCTTCTTCTTCTACCAGAGGCCCCATTTTCTGACAAGCAAATAAAAGCCTAATTATAGAAGCTTAATATAGCAATAAAAAATGAATCCAAGATCGAGTGAATTTTTCTACTTTTGTTTTTCCATTTTCTGATAAGCATATAAAAGCCTAATTATGGAAGGTTAACACAGTCATAAAAAATGAATCCAAGACCGAACGAACTCTCCTATTTCTTCTTCTTCTACCAGAGGCCCCATTTTCTGACAAGCAAATAAAAGCCTAATTATAGAAGCTTAATATAGCAATAAAAAATGAATCCAAGATCGAGTGAATTTTTCTACTTTTGTTTTTCCATTTTCTGATAAGCAAAGAAAAGTCTAATTATAGAAGCTTAATATAGCAATAAAAAATGAATCCAAGATCGAGTGAATTTTTCTATTTTTGTTTTTTCATTTTCTGATAAGCAAATAAAAGCCTAATTATGGAAGGTTAACAGTTATAAAAAATGAATCCAAGACCGAACGAACTCTCCTATTTCTTCTTTTTCTACCAGAGGCCCTATTTTCTGGCAAGCAAATAAAAGCCTAATTATAGAAGCTTGACATAGCAATAAAAAATTAATCCAAGATCGAGTGAATTTTTCTACTTTTGTTTTTCCATTTTCTGATAAGCAAATAAAAGCCTAATTATGGAAGGTTAACAGTCATAAAAAATGAATCCAAGACCGAACGAACTCTCCTATTTCTTCTTTTTCTACCAGAGGCCCTATTTTCCGTCAAGTAAATAAAAGCTTAATTATAGAAGCTTGACATAGCAATAAAAAATTAATCCAAGATCGAGTGAATTGTTCTATTTTTGTTTTTCCATTTTCTGACAAGCAAATAAAAGCAAATAAAAGCCTAATTACAGAAGGTTAACAGCAGTAAAAAAATAACGATAAAGAACTTAACACTTTATTTCGAATGAAAGGGTTAAACAGCATGTAATGAAAGAATCGTACTTACCAAGGTAGCCATGTCGCGTTTATTTCGGGTGTAGCCCGAGAACAACTGAATACCAAGTCCCAACTAGAACGTACTTTTATAGAGAGCCACTTGCCATTTGTACTTTCTTCCGTGCTAAGCACCGGTGTCGTTTACGACAGGACCTAATATTTTAATTGTCGCCATAATACGCGCCGGACCGCGACCAAAACCGATCACTCTCGCCTTCCAGACGACATTTCATTTATAACTGTTCGATGGCCCGTGTACACCACGTTTCCGGTGCAGTAAAAATCGAGGAAGCGGCGCTCCGATGAGTCCGAAATTGACGGATAGAAAAGCCGAACGATAATTCACCCGGTCGCTTGTATAATCTTTCACCGTTTTACGATCGGTAGAAATTGCGGCAACAACTTTACTGTCATTTTACCGTTCTGATTTATTCGTTTCAGTGATATGTACTGTTCTCCGACGATGTCGTTGTGATACACACAGGGTGGCCCACGTAAAACAGGCAAGCTGATTATCTTCTCTAGTTATGGTGGTATCGGAACAGCTTTATACCTAATTTCAATGGTTTCAAAGGGTGAGTGAGATGAAAGACAAATTTCTTGCAATCTTTTATTTTTCGCGGTCACTGTTACGAACCCGCTGCCTTTCCCCCGCACATTGTTATTAGATACTACTACAATATTTTTATTAACATTCTTATTAGATATTATTATTATCATTACCAAACACCTTTATAATTATAAACTAGAGCTGTTACTTAAGAGATACCCGGGTTACTCGTGAGATATTCGGGTAAATAGAAATTATCCGGGTGTCTCATGAGATGAGACAGCTGAGAGTAGATATCTATTATTCCTCGACTGTTTCGGCAGAGGTTTCAAAACAATATCGCGCAGGGTGCACTTTGACACGTCGGCATCGTTGCATCGTTGTCGCGACCGATCCGCATTTCTTTGCCCGGGGAACCACCAGCGGTAGTGGCCACCGAGATTTCGACTGTTTTATGTACATACTCGAGTACTCGTGAGATAGCCGTTATTTTCATCTACTCGGGTATCTCATAGGTACTCGAATACCCGGTTATAAGTAATAGCCCTATTATAAACCAGAAACGCCAAGCAACCGCCACAGATAGGAAGTAGGCGAAGTCGCGAAAAATCCACGAAGCGACGCTAGACTCCTTTTCCTGACCATTGATTGGTCGGAAGCAAGGTGCCAAAACTAGTATAAAACCGACAGATAGTGTAAAACCATACACATAGAACGACACCCACTCGAACTAAACATTAAATAAAACATCGAACACATTTCTGGAATTTTACGCCTTTAACCAACCCGAGACGAAGGCGATCTCAACCGATACAGCTGATTCCGTAATAGTCACCTATGATTTTTTAAAGGAATGGATATATTTTGTTGTTGACGTGCATTTAAATACGTGCGATGTGAGTTTAAAATGACACTGAATTTTAAAATTTTAAATCATACGTATGTGAAAATTCTTTTCATCTTTTTGCCATTTTTTTTCTATATTTTTCAAAGTTACACGAATGTATATGTATATTTTTTTCCGCTGTATGTTACAGCAGGCATTGAGGTGCATTTAAACATTCGTAATAATAGGATCTTTAAATGACCTCACACTATAATTTCAAATCAAATGTGCATCTTCCTTTCATTTTTTCCATCGAAAAAATTTTTCCTCAACCTTATCCACTCTTCCAAATTACGCACAAAAAAAGATCACCATCTGGAATTGCGTATAAAAATGTTCTCGTACCACCCTGTATAGCGAACGTTCTTATCCTCGTCTTTACCAGTCGAGTAAAATCGAAGGTGGCGACGTTCGGACAGGCGAAAATGATCGCGTAAAAAAAAAAGTAGAAACAGCGGACGTTCGTGGTTCTGGAGCTTGCAGAATTTTCGCTTTCGCCGCCATTTACCTGCTCGCGGGAGAAATTCGCGCTCGAAGTGAACGCGTGGACGCCCATCTAACCGGAAACGAGGCGAGCGACGCCTGCACCGGCTTTAATTTATATATCTCATTATTTAATAGAACGAACGGCGGTGGCCTCATCTTCCTTTCCCGTCCCATGAATATTTAACGAGCCGTTTCGCTCGCCTGGTTCCTTCTCGCTAGACCGATCGTCCTTTCCGATTTGTTTGCCCATTGACAAAATTGCCCGATTAATTCTCGTCGAACTCCGCAAATATTTGTCGGTTCACGGCACGTGGAATAACTGAGAACGCCTGTAAGATACCTGTTAGTACACCGAATTACACATTTTTCAACATTTTTCGCTTCTATTCGAACTTTTTCCTTCGTAATTACTCGTTGAAGTTGGTCGCGTAGGAGTGATTGAATTGTGTTTAGCTTGAAAACGAGAGTTGCACGAACGGGAGGCACTTGAGCGAGAGGTTTGAAATTTTCAGATTTTCAGAGATTTAGAGAGTACTTGAGACTTTGATCAAATTTTGCGGATAGACAGAGAATTGGGAATTGGGAATATTCATGTTTAGGGGATGAAACGATCCTCCAAAGTTGGGGGCTGGAAAAATTTAATTAGAAAATCTCGAAAATGAATTGACAGAGAGAAAAATGTTATATACAAATTCTGTCTGTTTTTTTTTTTTTTCACAAGAAATAACACGACGTACACGAAATTCGAGCAAAATTGTAGATAGCGCTACCGTAGTTGGAAATATCATATTTTTGTAAATATTTTCCAAGGCGACAAACCTTTTGACAAAAATTCGTCGGTACGGGTTGGAAAATGGATCTCGCAAATACGTTTTCTCCCAAATTTTTAGAAATTGCTGCAAAGTGGATTCTTCGTGACACTTTCTCCGTCGATATTTTAAATTTGCTATCTTCTGTTGCAAAACTTTTCAATTCGCTACTTTCTTTGCCATTTTCTATTGCAGGAGAAATTTTATTTTAAATTACACCTGCCCAGTCTCGATCACGAAAACCACCACACCCAACAATCACACATCACCCGTTATAAATACTAGCACGTCGACTGCCACGCTCAGCACACTATACTTCTTTTTCTAATTTAAAATAATGTCATTGGTAATGGGTGATTGAAATAATATTGCCTTTGTATAACTGCTAATGTTCAATTTATTCTACGACTCTGAAGAAACGTCTTTACTGAACTGTCTCTGGACACCCAAAAAGAGAAAGCTGGCGTTCCGCTTCTACCTACGAACTGTTTATCCTACTGTATTGCAGTGTGCAGTGCTTGATTCGAAGACGAACACCAGGCATACACTACCGGACAAAAGTTTCGAATCACCTCCCACTTTTCATCAATATTAAATCTGCTGCTAATTTTTTATAGATTTGAAGATTATCTCTGTAAGCACCGCTTGAAAAAAAAGGAATTTAACTCAGGATAGTGTGGTATCCAAAAATGTATTTATTCTATATTCCTAAGCGACTGCTAAGTGCTTCGGTGTCCGTCTCGCTCGATGGCTATTTCCAGAGTGTCCTCTCCGCGTCGTATCCCGTTGGAGCCCCCTCGTTCGACTTTCCGGCTTCGGTGTCCGTCTCGCTCGATGGCTATTTCCAGAGTGTTCTCTCCGCGTCGTATCCCGTTGGAGCCCCCTCGTTCGACTTTCCGGGGAAAGGGCTTAGTTTATGGCACCCTCAGGTACCCGCGCGCTTTCTCTTCCTGGGTGACAATTCTACATTTACCAATTTATCTCATATCAACTGATTCGAATGATAAAAAATTCTCAAAGTGCTGACTTTTTTCTGGAAATTTTTCTGTAAATTGCAATGCTCGGTGATTCCAAACTTTTCGCCGGTAGGGTATCTACTGGAAGTCCTAGTGTCTGTCTAGAAGAACGCCGAGACATTTTTCTCCTCGCTCGATTATTTCTACAGTGTGTTTTTAGAAATAATCCAACACGTCTAGTTAGCTACGACGTTCGAAATTTTTAGTCGGCGAACATTCGAGGCCCTCCGGTCACTGACACCCACCGTGGCCCTATCCAGAGAACAATCTCCGGTCACAGGTGACGAACACGGCAGTCAACGTGTTAAATATCAGGTCTACCGGGAAGTTCTGTCCGACAATGTCATCTGAAGATCCAAAGATGAGTCATTCTACAGAAATGGAATCCACAAATTACCATCGCTGTTTAGTCGTGAAATAGAATAAACCTAAGGGAATCCTGTAGCCGGATTTATGGCTTCACAAGTGGTTACGTCGCAGCAACTATTTTGCTTCCAACGGACAATAGTGTCCCTTTTCGCGTTGCTCGTGACACTCGGTCACTAGGACTCGAGAAGCCATAAATCCTGGTGTCTCCAAGAGTTCAAGGGACAAGTGGGCCTCGATATTTTCGCGACTAGGCCCACTTTACGCGAGAAAGTCCTGACTTTGCGGAGACTCCACAGGATTCCCAAACATTCCTTCGGTCGTTCTGCATCCCTTCCCTGAAACAGCGCGTGTAGGGCGTAACTGGAAAGGGGTGTCGATGCATCGGAGAAAGACTGATTGGTGGAGAATCGTTTTGGAAATCACCAATCGGGGTGATTCGGTGAGGAACGCGGCTTTCGTGGAGACGGACCACGAAAGCTTGCGACAGTTGGAAATAGAAGTCTCACCAAGAGACCGGTGTCGAATTTTCGTCATTGAGAACAGTGTAACCAGTCCTTTCCCACGTCAAGAAGCCGTCGGGAGAAGTTTTGCATCTAAACAATCACGCTGGGAAGACGTCACTAGTAACGATGGAAATTACATTCTTCGGTAAATATTAATAAATGTATGGAGAATGTATGATTTTTATCGAGGATCTTTAATTAGCGAATAAAGATTGACTCAATCGACTGCAGAGAAAAAAAACGTTTATTGGTGTAAATGTAATACAAAACAACGGAGGCGAAAACCCGTGTGAAGAACAGGTACTCAGTTCGGGGCTGTCGCACGACTGCTTAAAATGCGGAGAGGCATTTGTTATATACTTGGATCGGGACCACGGTCAGCGAACCCATGGCTTTTATGGCT